CCCCCCCCCCTGCCCCCCCAGCCACTTGTGTTGAGCCCAGCTGGGGCTCTCATACCAGCGAGACTCGCCAATCCAGACCCCGCTGTCGCGTCCGCGGATAAGGGATCTGCGATTAATGCTGCCAGTGAGGCTTTATCTACTTCAGCTTGAGTTTGTCTTCGATTGTTGCGCTCGAGAGTGGCGTCACTCTCAGAAACTCCCTTCAGCTCGGAGCAGGAGCGGAGCGGCCTCTGGAATGCCATTCCGGCCTCTGGTTTCTCCTCTTCCTCCTTATCTGGGGGAGCCACCCTCTGATGTCCTTTTACGATGTGCGTTTGTGAATAGCAAACGCTGGCTCGCCCATTAGATTGTATCATTAGCGTTATGCTAGCTGACACCATTTTCATAATATAAGATAAAATGCCATCTGCACCTACTCCAGCGCTCATGAATCCTACATTGAGGCCTGCCCCCCCCCCCATCCGTCCCAAGGCAAACGGCCGCATGAATGGGCTGATTGTGTCCAGAAGTATTTAATCAGTGGTCAGTGCTGAGGAAGAGTGCTGCTCTCCAGTTTCTGCCGGGAGTTGATTTGCCCGCTTGGTCCGGCTCCACTGCACCGGCCCCATCTACAGAGTCTTTCATTGGCGTGAGGATCTGGGACTGGCTCATATGCCAGCTGCCTCATTTCGAGGTCACCGCGGCATGTGTGTACCCCTCCTCCGCGCCCCCCTGACACCCCCCCCGAGGAATCCGCAGGCAGGCCGGAGAGCCTCCACTTCCGGGTTCCACTCCTGCAGTGGCCGTTTGGGTTTAGGTGCTCGCGTTCCTCAGAACGCCTGAACAGCGACACGCTGCTGTTCTCGGTGCCTGGGGTGCACGTTATCCACGTCTGCTCGTCCTCGTGCGATGACGACGGGCGCTATCGAGTGACACGGTCGGTGACTGCCCTCGCTCTGGGTGGCCTCCTCCTCACCTAGGCGGGCCTGACATCTGACCCCGTCTGGAAGACTGTGATTAACCCTCAGCGTGCGACGCCCCGTGCTTTATTAATTACATGGATTTTTCATTAATTTGGGTGTTCCCAATGATGGCCCATTGGCATAACACTTCCTCTTCCTCTGATTTATATACCCTCATATATAGGAATATGTATCTGTACAGCTGTTTTTCTATTGATGCTTTTAAGGGCAGTTGGTGTTCTGGGCTTGTGTATTATATGCAAGTGTATGTGTATATACCTGTGTGTGTCTGCCTGTATATATACCTGTGTGTGTAATTTATAATTGTTCTGTATCGCTGCATTACATACACATGCAAACAGGTCAATATATTGTAGATTGTGAATATTATTGCTTTCATGTTTGATGTTTTATTGATTCAGGTGTGAATGATTAGTGGATACTTTTCTAACTTTGTTTTAGCTTCTTTACTTCATTCCAAATTCTCGAATCTTCTTGCTGCTTGCCAGTTAACCTGGATGGTCCATCACGATGCTTGCCTTGTTTCTTTGTGTGCTGTTACCTTCTCTGTGATGACTTTGTTCCTTGGTTAACCCAAAGCTACCGGTTATCCTGACCGCCTAACCCGCTAACCCTAAGCTCACGGTCTGCATTCCTCACAGGTGGTCAAGACCATCGGTCTGCGGGAGGTTTGGTACTTTGGCCTTCAGTACATGGACAGCAAGGGATATCACACCTGGCTGAAACTCGATAAAAAAGTAAGGAAGGTTGAAGCCGTTGTTTGTCTTTCACAGCCCGCTGGGAGGCAGGCAGGGGCCCGAATGGGGGATGATGCGGGGGCCCCTCTGTGTTCCGGGGTTTCATCTCAATGGAACCGTCATGTCCTGAACTAGAGACGCACAATGTATTTAATACGGTGTTTCCTGATTCGGTCCTTGGGGACTTGCAGACAGTCTGCGTTTTAGGACTGTGGATTGTCTGGCTGGGAGGGAGCAAAAACTTGGACCCACTGTGGGTCCCCGAGGACCAGAGTGGGGAGCACTGAGTTTACGTAAAGGCATCAGCTAATTATCGTTTAAAAATCAAAATATTGGCATCGGTCCGATGGGTAGCAATATCGATCATGACTGACACAATATTTAGACGTTAGGCAGTATTCAAAGTTAATAGCACCAGAGCTTGAGACATTAGTTACTAAAATAGTGGAGATAGCGGATCATCCAGTGCAGTCTATTTTCCGTAATGGAGGACGAGGGATTCCGTCAGCTTATTCGCCACTTAGAACCTCCCAAGTCGGAGCGACTTCCCTGACATCTCACTGCCTGATTATATACGGCTGTTACACATTGCCGAGATCTTAGGAAGTAACATCAGGTTCTCTGCAGATCTGTGGCGATCAGAGGTTAGCTGCTTATCGCTATCGGCGTCTGCCGAAAGTTTCTAAATTGGTGCAGCACGCTCCTGAACGGACTGACATTTAATGCATTGACTAAAGTGTAAATGAAGCCTCAGCCTGCAGAGACTGACACTGTCGGCTCTCGCCTGCTGTCGGTTCCCCTGCATGTGGCTGATCTTCATCCCCTCCATCAGCCCAAGCCGTCAGCTGAAATATTTAATTAAAAAATGCCATCAGTAAGTGAAGCTGCCCCCTGTGGAGGATATTGTTCAGTGAGGCCGCCACTGCGCGTAAGGAGGTGAAGATCTCG